CGAAGTGTCTGCCAATCCATCAGGCGCGTTCTTCTTTAGTTAAGAGTCGAAAACCAGAAACAGGACAATCATTTCTGGACAAATAAAAATGGGAAACAGGACAATCATTTCTGGACAGAGGGAGTACCACAGAAGCAACCAAAGGTTTCAAAATAGGAGCACATCTTTAACTTCAAGAAAATGTATGGCTCAATAGATGAAGGGTGGGGGGAAGGATTCTCTACCCTGGATGGAGAATAATGGAAGTTTCCCCAATAGGATAATTAATTCACCTGAACTGGGACTAAGAAGGTAAAGACAAGTCCTGAGTTGTGTATCCAGAGTCTGAAGGCTCGGCAAGAGAGGTCCATGTTTACATCAAGAACATTTGGCTCATGTGGTCCGAGTTTGATCGTCCACTCGTGTCGTGGACGTTTAGGATGTCCAACATTCTTCTTGTGCGAATCGAGCACGACTGACATTTGGACCAGCTTCAAAGCTCAAAAATGCAGTCAGATGGAATGTGGCAGTTGGCCATATCCATGCTAGTAGCAACTATTGTCATCTACTTCAAATATTCTGGGAATTCTGTCAAATATTCTTGGAATAGATGGGTCAAGACAATTTTTCAAAGTATCCAGGGTTTCAAATGACCAGAAACAGATAGTGAGGGACCACATCAATTCAGTCCACGTTGAATCATACCATTGGCAGAGAAAAACTTTGAACAATAGATGAACCAGCAAAAGTCACACATCAAGTGTACTGTGACAGTGATGAGAGCAGGAATTGTTCTGGTAAAGCTGCAAATACATGGCCACATGTACAATGAAAAATTCAATATTTACTTTTTGAAGATCAAACCTGATGTCTCTGAGAAGAGTTCAAGACAGAAAAGGATTTCCATTGTGGGCTCAAACAGAAGTGTGATGATCACTTTTATGAGGAGGCCAAGCAGAAAAACAATAAAGAGACAAGTTAAACTTGCATAACATAACTGGCTTATGCTTCAGCAAAAAAGAAAGGACATCGTGCCACATGGACTGAGGCAACAATGGGAAAAGTGGAAATGACGTCACTAGTGTTGTCATTCGGAAACTTAAAGAAGCTTTCAGGGAATTTCCCGACATGATGCATCTTAGAACATGGAGTAACAGGTGTTTCCCTCATCCTAAAAAGATAACCATGAAAGTGTAGACCCCTGGCCATTCATGCATTCGAGAAGGAAACGGCATACATGCAGTCATTCGTGTGTGGTGAAGGTGCTGAGAATCTCTGAGTTCTGGTCTGTCTCCTTTCTCCATGCTCTTCTTGCTGCACAAAGGAAATAATCACATTAATATAACTGAGATTACCCATACTGACCACAAAGACAATAAGTCCATTGGCAAAAATCTTTATTGCAATGTGATTCCATATTTTCAAGTGTGCAACCTGCAACTCGGCCATGCTTACCCATTTGAACCATTTGAAGTGGGTGTGAATCATCTCGCCACTGTGATGTCCTTCACAAGGCAAGGTGCGTCTCCGCTCGACCCAAACGACCGGCCAGATATACTGTATGTGACGCACCTCACGAGGAAGTCCCTGCATGGAGGAGAAACAGGACCACAAAATCATGCTGAAATGGATGCATGAAGTTGAAAATACAGTGAAAACTCGTTAACTCGAATCCTGATAAGTCGAAATTCTGCTTATCTCGAAGTTCAAAGCTGCACAAAGGAAATAATCACATTAATATAACTCAGATTACCCATACTGACCACAAAGACAATAAGTCCATTGGCAAAAATCTCTATTGCAATGTTATTCCATATTGTCAAGTGTGCAACCCACAACTCGCCCATGCCTACCCATTTGAAGTGGGTGTAAGTCATCTTGCCAGGCGATGTCCTTCACGAGGGAAGGTGCGTGTCTGCTCGACCCGAACGACCAGCCAGATATATGAGCCGCACCTCACGAGGAAGTCCCTGCATGGAGGAGAAACATGACCACAAAATCATGCTGAAATGGATGCATGAAGTTGAAAATATCTGTAGAAATGACTTGCTGAAAGAATTGTAAAACTGGAAGCATCAAATGATATTGATAGATGATCTATGAGTCAGGATTAATCTTGAAATAAAGCATATTTATTGATGGATGATCTCCCTATCAAACAAATGCAAGAGATTAAATGAATTTTGGGTCAATTTTTGCTAAACACTTTTGGGAAATGGTGTTGGAGACATATAACACTGCTTGTCATAGGTAATGCAGTGAAGTTAGCTATGAGACTGTTGTTTACTGGTCATAAAAAAGTAACTACATTTCATTGAGATATTGATTATGGGGCTCTCCCCAGCAATTTTCAAGGTATCAGCCATGATCCCAGTTATATCTTGGAAAAACATAGGTACTTGTTGATGGTTAATAATAGCTAGTGAGAAATGTAGGCAATGGGAGGAATTTTAATACACCAGGATGTAGAGTGGATGGAAGCACACAAACAGCCAAGATCAAGCAAGTGCAAACCTATAGAATGAAAAGAAAAATTCCTCCTTACAACTCCAGTTAAAGCAAAAATCACTCCCATTTTTCTAGGACTCTTCATTATGACAACAGAGGTTTCCAGAAGCCTGGGGCAAAACAAACTGGAGGCCCCATTGTGGCCACTCAATGGATGGGGTCTGGCTGGATGGGTCATTTTGGGACCTTGGGATTGGTTATCATCAGAGGCCAACTTGGGATCCCTCAAGACACAAGGCCCTGGGAAGATTGTCCCAAATTCACCCCTGGGCAGGCCTGATGACAGGGTCTTAGCAAAGAATGATGTTGAGAGAGAGAAAATCTACACTTCATGTTGATGCAATAATAGCAGAATTTGCACCTCATGTTCATGGTTTGTATTGTGTACTGCAGTAATCCATTCAGTAGATAAAATACTATTATTTTCCCTTCGTCTTTTGATTCAAAACTCTAGTTTAAAGGTAACTGTCATTTTTAAGTCAATCCTAGAGAAAGGTATTTGTGTCTGAGAATATGGCAACTGCAGATTCCCCAGTTGCTCATTGATCTAGGTACCCATGATCATCCAGCACCTCTGTATGACTTTCCATGGCCTCTCAACCCTTGCACAGGTGTGGCTGAAGTCCACAATACACACCATACTCTGTAGTCAGACTAGCAGAAACTAATCCCAGACAAGTGGAAGGTAAAAAACTGCAAAACTTCTAGTACACATTGACTATGCCAATATCTGCATCCTGATGGCTAGCAATTGAAATTTAAGTAAACGTGAACCAAGACTCCAAACACACCATACTTGCTTAGCAAGGACAGTGCATTCATGTCACACAGGACTAGGCAGCACTTCTCTTCTTTTGGCAAGTTTGCACAGCTATCATGTCAAGTATATTGGCACATGGGGTTGTCCTCATGAGCTTACTGTTGTCTGAGCAAGTGCTTAATGGAAGTTTCCTAGCAGATGATGGTCATCTATGAATATGAATTTTTTTTGTGGGTAACTCACATGAGACTTGACTGCCATGCACAATCCAGCCCTGGCAATAACATGAAGAGGCATTCATAAGGAATCAACAGTTTGAAGCACGATGCCCCCTGATTGGAGTCGCTGTCTCACCTCATGGCCACTTTCCTCAATCTATGAACAATTGGGTGGTAGTGAGACATACCTATTTTTAAACATAGGGATATGAGATGTTAACAGAAATTATTTTATATCTGATTGAGAAAAAACTCATGCAAAATGCCAGACAAAGCGGATGGTAAAACAGACCTTCACAGGTACAGAACTGAATAATGGCAGTCATGAAGGCAATTCAGCAGGTGATGCTTTGTCCTTTCAGCTCCATCTCCCCCCCATTTCCCACATGCCCACTTATCGATTTGGAAGAGGTGCCGGTCGTATTTCCAACAGCAGTGAAGTCCTGACATCAAGGAGACAGTCTGTGAAAGAAATGATTAAAAATGACACATGATGACAATGCATGTGAAAGGAATATTACAGGTACTTGAACACCAATTAAGTTCTGGAACAAAACTGTTTATGTTATAGTGCTGGTTTACCACAGTGATGTTGGTTAAATTGCTGAGGTTCTCACATTCCATGAGAGGATTTATTTAAATATCAATTAAAGAAGCCATGTGCTTCAAGAACAAGGATTGTTCAACT